AGGAGGTGATAGTAAAAAAAAATAACGAGAGCTTTAAGCTTGTAAAGAGGCCCTTTACGGCAAAGGTTAGTAATTATTTTTTATACGTATTAAATTAAAGTTTCATTAAATAAAGAATTGTACTTTTGCTTAATAAATCTAATTTGATAATCAAAGACATGTTGTGAATTAAAGAATTACTGAAATGGCTGAACTGAAAATGAAAAAGTGAAAATAGTGATTTTTATGACCTTAAATAGAAGTGATTAAAAGGAATGAAAAGAAAAGGCTTGAGTCAATCAGGATTATCTCAGATGATGCTAGCAGAGAATGTGATGTACCCATACAAGAAAAAGAAAATAAAAATGACAAAATTGTACTTTCTTACACAATATTTTTAGGGTACCTATATGTATGATTTTTACAATATATTCAGGTATGATGACAATCCTGATAACTTCTTAGGTTAAAAATGGTAAATACTTAAATTAAAATGAGAATGGTTAAATTTAAAATGAAAGCTTACAATTTGATTAAGTGATGAACTACATTTCTTTGGGTCATTCGTGCATAGCATTTGAATATGAATTTAAAATGCATTATAAGAACATAATTGCACACTAAATCGTGAAAACATAATGTTGAATTTAATTGTTTCATTCAGAAAAAATTATAAGTGGATATGTCTGACATGAGGGATTTAGTTCACAAGAGGAGGACTATAGCTGACAGGTATTATATTGTGACGTGGTTGTAAGTTTCTTTTTATTATTATTTTCTTCTAGTTAGTAAAACACTGTGATATGTTGAATGAGAGGTTGTTAGCAGATTACGTCGTTATTTTTTTAATATTTTGATTTCTATGTAGTGTACTTTTTGGTTTCTTATCGACTCTTTTATATATTGGAAGTCATGAAAACCTATAGAAAGTAAATGAAATGTTAATAATATCCAATTGTAATTCCTTACTTAGTTAATGCAAAGTTATCAGGCAGGGTCATGATACTTCGCCCACCCACGAAATAAATGAATCTGCCAAATTATTTTTACGATAATGACTTTTAATCACAGTCGAGAAATCACTTCCAGCCCACTTGTAAGGTAAACCATATGACCCTTGTCGGGACACTATTTAACTCATTCATCTCATCATAGAACTCATGCTTAATGTAACAATTTACTTTTTGGGAGACACTAATCTCACAACCTTATCGAAGTCCTTACAATGAAACAAATTTTTTAAATTCTTCCATAGATGACACATACAACCCCTAAGTTATGCATGTAGAAATACAAGCTTAACTGCTTCTCCAATCCCCTTCTCCATGTCAGATATGAAAGCAAGATTATGTTGCTCAACCAATCGATTCAGCCAATTGTTCAAAGCACCACTGCCAAATCTTTCTTAACTTTGTTTCAGCAGCAGCGAAAACTAAGGGAAATAGTACATTATTTCCATCCAATAAAGTAACAGACAGAAAAACACCATGGTACATGAACTTTAAATGGCAAGTGTCGACGCCAATCAAATGTATACAACCTACTAGAAATCAATCAATGGAGAGTTTAAAACTAACCAAAAAAAAAATCTTTTGAAAGAGAAATCCTACATATTCCAAGTGTATGAAATATATGATCCTAAATTTCTTATCATAAATTTTGTCTGCAAAGCGGGTACCCACTTATAATTATTATCAATCAATTTGAAGATGTTGTTCCTTGCTTCTTCTCTTGATCTCCATAACTTCATATATGGTATTGAGAGCCCATATCAATTCTCCAAATTGTTCTTAATCTACTTTGGAGGAGGGATCTCACGATTCTTTTTCACAATTTCTTCTATTTCATGAGCCACCCAAGCTGATATTGCTTGTTTACTCCCTGCACTGTTCACACCAGAGCATAAATGCATCAACATAAATTTTCTTATCTAAAAATAAGTGTCATCAACATATACTGTAACACATACTCTCCAACACATATAACAACAATGCAGGATCTATTGTCATCTCGGAACTTCAAACTAAATTTATTTTTTTTATCATAGTAGATTGAATAAATTGCCTGAAAATGTTCTGAATCAAGAAAAAGCACAACAATTTTTAATCATTATCACCTCCAAAATATGCAACCAAATACTCTTCAAACTTGAACTTGTTATTCCTGGGCACATCTCAATATCTTTTTGATTATGTGTGATAATCATTACCTCAGCTCGGTCATATCCACTAGAACGAACAATCATTTACATAACTTCAACATGCTGGTGATATGAATATATTTTTTGGGCAATGTTTCACATATATGATATCTCAACTCAAACTCATGTCCTTTAAGCCAAGGACAAATCACGTCAATATCCTCCATTAGCTTCTGTAAATTCACAATATCTTTTTGAATAGTAATAGTTTTCTTCTTCCCACCAACGTATCTCGTTCTTGATTGAATCTTAGATTTTATCCAATGTATATCATATTTAAATGTGATTTGCAATGGCTTGTCTCGATCACCAATTAAATCCACTCTCACAATAGGATCGCACGGAAACATATAAAACAAAACAAAATATAGTCAGACACAATAAACATGAATAAACAAAACATAGGCATCAAGTGGTATGTTTGTAAATCTTCCAAAAGGATTAATATATATTCAAAAGAGTAAATGCATGATGCACTTATGACAAGAAACACTGTATACTCTTGCAAATTACAGTTACATAAATGATCAATCTTAAATCAATTACATATCAGTCCCAATTCGACCACCAATCTAAGCTTAAAGTTGATCCAAATCAACATTAATAAATTGTAAATCAACCGTTGAACTAGCTTCAAATCAATCCATAGGAGGTTTGTAGAAATTATAAAGTTTACAATCCAAAGAAAACATCTGAAATCTACAAGTTTACAAACAAAAAATAATGGCAACTTCAATTTGTTCATCTTGCTTTACTTATTTGAACTTGATACAGCACTATATGGGCTTTTGTTACTCGAGTTCATTAGTTAATATACAGCCGTACTTGAGATCTCTGAAGCACCATCAAATGAAATTAATGTGGCAACTTCAATTTGTTCATTGGCAACTTCAATTTGTGGCAACTTCAATTTGTTCATCTTGCTTTACTTATTTGAACTTGATACAACACTATATGGGCTTTTGTTACTCGAGCTCATTAGTTAATATACAACCTCACTTGAGATCTCTGCAGCACAATCAAATGAAATCCTGCTCAAAAATAGTGTGGACAAACGACATCTCCTATGAGGATATCATCAGCATAGAACAATCCAAAGAGCAATTCTTGTAAGTTATAATGATAAAAATTTGGGTGAATAAATCATCATATAGATGCAAAATGAAAATTTTAGATGAATAAAACATTATAAATCGCAAAAGACAGTATAACATGGCTCTCTTCAAGAATTAAGTGGTATGCATGTCAATCTTCCAAAGGAATTCAGTGGTACGTATTTAACATTGGGTGGAAAGCTTCGAGCTGTTAACAAGACACTATCACCTGTTACTAATACCACAATGCATAATCAGAAAATACATCTTTAAGTTCTTTGATATAGATAGGTGATCAAACTATTGAAATTCCAAATGAAGCCAACAACGCTTTCATGTGTGAGATTCATTCCTTGCCCCAGAGTTTCATTTCCCTAGTTCTAGCTCTCCAACACAATCTCCATTTCATTAAAGAAGGAATGATTTCTTATAAGTAATGCATCCTGCTTTGGACAATGGGAAAGCCAAAAAACGTTAAAAAAAAACAAAAACAAACAAGAAGAGAAGAGAGAATTGGATTGCGCATTCGGTGACGACGGAGGCTCCAAAGGCGACAAGGCAAAGGGAGGAGACAAGACAATCAAGAATAGAAGAGAGGACTGGACTGGGGCTTCATGATGGCTCCGGCTTCAGACAAAGCTCTCAACGGAATTTAGAGGGGCTGAGCATGCAAAGCAGGGTGGAAGGAACGAAGAGAAAGAAGAGTGTTATTTCGGTAGGAGGCTTCGGACAAAGCAAGAGACGGTCGGAGAGAGGCACGGGTAGGCATTCGCACCGGAAGCTCCAGCTTTGGACAAAGCTCACAACGAAGACTTCAGCTTCAGACAAAGCTCACAACGAAGGCTCCAGCTTCGAACAAAACAGGAGACGAGACGGACAGAGGAAGGAGACAGTCGCAGGGACAATGAAAAAATGAAGAAGAATCGTGCCCCTTTCTTATAAGGCTTTAGAAAGAGTGATGGTGGACGGAGGTGTAACAGAGTGCAAGAGGGGTAATTTTTAAGTCAAGGGTTTGTGATATGCAATTTTGGATGTTTGGAGTTTGCAGTATGTAAGAACCTCTATTTTTTATGTGATATAAAAATTTTGGTGGTATAAATGTTAAAACGTATAGTTTAGGAGTTAGATGTGAATACATTGGAATTGGTGGTATGTAAGTAAATGCCAATCTATCTAAATAGAATCCACATATATAACACCTAAACATTCATATTTACATATATTTACATACATACCACTCAAATACCACTCAAATCTTTAACATCCCATAAAAAATATCACCATCACTATGTTAAAAAAAATGAAATACACATTTTCATGCATAGGTTCAGGGCAAGAGTGTTATAAGTGTAAATATCAAACTTTAGGTGTTGGATATGTAAATAAATAAGAATTGTCTAGTGTGTGTGTGTGTATATAAATGTCACTTGATTATTATGTGAGGACTTCTCAAAATTCTTGAATTAGAATTATGTTCATAATAAGTTCTTAATTGAATTATTTTAAGAAGACTACAATATAAAACATGCTGATTTGTTTACTTTGAATTCTTTACTTTGAAGTGAGTGCAGTATTTAGATTGATTTGTTTGATATTCAAATAAAGTATAATCATTAAAGTTGAAGTACATTATGTGAATGAAATCAGGTGTTCAACAGAAAAAAAAGGAAAAATGTCTACAAAATAAAGTAATTTTTTTAACAGCATTAAATAAAAATGATACATACATTCTAAAGCTTGTCAAGCACAGGGGCAAAGTCGCCTGGTTTGCTTATGAGAACCATCACATGAAAGCATAGAATCTGCTTGAGAGTATAAACATGCTCCGGGATACTGAAAATCCAAAATAAATAAACCTGAGTTAATAATAACAGGAGAGAATTTTTTACATAATACCTGAAACTTCGCTATTTACAAAATTATCACTTAATTATTTTCTTTGCAATACCACATAAACTATACATTATTTTCGTTTTAAATGTTTGTCAAAGTATAGCTTGATGATTTTTTGAGAAGAAAATCAAAGCAAAGAGTGATATCTCAATGATAACGGATTATATAGTTGGAACAATTATCATATTAATACAAAGAAAAGTAAATATTTGCAATAGTTAAAAGCAATTGATTTTCAAAGCAGGCAGATAATCATCAAGTTAAAAGTAACTTCTTTACAATATATTTTCAAATTAAGAAAAAAAAAATCTTGAAATTATAAATAATTTGATAAAAATGTGCAAGAAACACTTCGTGGGTAATTATTTGTGCATTTAGTATTGCATTCGGTCAAGGGCATTTACATGCATACCTGATAACCACACAATTTCTTTATATTAGGGTTTAGGGTTTAGAAATGCCCTAATATAACTAAACTTCTTTTCAATATATTTTCAAATTAAGAAAAAAAAAATCTTGAAATTATAAATAATTTGATAAAAATGCGCAAGAAACACTTCGTGGTTAATTATTTGTGCATTTAGTATTGCATTCGGTCAAGGGCATTTACATGCATACCTGATAACCACACAATTTCTTTATATTTACATATCTAACACCTAAACTATGATTTTTGCCATTTGCAACATTCAAATCTTTAATATCACATAAGAAAATATCACAATTATTACTTTTTAAAAAGTGAAATACATGTTTCAATGCATAAGTAGAGTATTATAAATCTTAAGGGACATTTACATACATACCGCACAATTTGTATGTATTTACATATCTAACACCTAAATTTTATGTTTTACATTTCTACCACTCAAATCCTTTATATGACATCAAAAATATCACTATTGTGACTTTTAAAAAGTGAAATACAACTTTCAAGCATAAGGTGGCATGTATGTAAGAATTGAAGTTTAGGTGTTACATATGTAAATACATAGGAATTGAGTGGTATGCATGTAAATATTTCAAAAATTAAAGGTTATTTGCATCTTCGAAGTGAAAAAATATTTTCAAGTGCACAATTTGAGAGCTCAATCATCCTTAATCCCAAAGTCTCTCTGGATGAAATAGTTCTTATGCCCTTGTGCGTTTAATCTAAGACAACATTATGTAGTCTAATGATGCACTGATATATAGAGTACAAAAAAGTTAGGAGCATTTACATAACTACCACACAATTCTTATATATTTACATATCTATGTACCAAACATTGATATTTACATACATACCACTCAAATTTTAACATCACGTCAAAAATATCACTATTACTTTTTAACAGTGAAATACCTTCATGCATAGGTTTATAACACCAAAGTGCTACAAATGTAAATATCAATCTTCAAGTATTTGATAGGTAAATACCTAAGAACAAAGTGATATGCATGCAAATTTCCCAAAAAGTTACCATATCCTTGGGGGCATTGTCCACTACTTCGGCAGGTTGATCAGCCCCCATGCTAGCGAAACACGAGCCCTTGCATCTCATATATTTCTCCAGCCTGTGATGAAATTGTAAACTTCACTTTAATGCCCATAACTATAGTAACAAAATACAAAACAAAAGCAAGAGCACAGATATTTACAAATCCTCATTCATGATAGCATTGTTTTACAAATTGCATTCTGACAAAAAGCCCCATCTAAAAATTAATTTTCTAATTTAAGTGCAGTAAAAGAAAGATGTTTGGCGTACATAAACTGATTAGGATATTCTTCTAACTAGTTATATTCCTATGGTGATTGCTTTCCTTTGTTTCTGAACTTCACTAAAATCGCATCCCATTGTAAACTACCTTTGCATTGTTCTTCTTTTAACACTAGTTTTCTAAACTCAGATTATTTATTGGGAGATTTACATGCATACCACTCAACTCCTATGTATATTCATATCTAACACCTAAACTTCAATTTTTACATACATGACACCTTACCTATGCATGAAAATGTGTATTTCACTATTTAAAAGTCAAGATGTTGGTATTTTTATGTGATATAAAAAATTTGGTGGTATAAATGTTAAAAAATATAAGTTTAGGTGCTAGATATGTAAATACATAGGAATTGGGTTGTATTTATGTAAATGCCCCTTTTTTATTTTATTTTTTGGAAATATACAACAAGCTTGGGCATGTTGTATAAAAAAGGCTCTTTATTTATTAAAATTAAATGAAAATATGACACTCAATAGGAAACAATGGAGAAAAAGGATTATGTGGCCGACCCCCTAGTGGGATAAGGGCTTCTTGTTGTTGTTATTGTAAACATACAACAGCTTTGAATTTAATCATTCAAAAGAAATATTATGAGAGAGACATAACAGCTTTTTAATATGGCAGGTCAATCAGGTTGTAGTAAAACAAACATTAAAGAAAATCCTACTAAAGGATTCAAATACCGAAGAACTTTAATTAAATGCTGTATACACAATTCTTAAATTGCTAAAATCTATGGCAGCTGCAGTTGACATGTTGTTAGCCAACTATAAGTTTACCCTATACTTGCTACATTTCACTATGTACATCCAAAAAAGAGTTTTTTCTTAAGCAACAAGAAAGTCCAAGTACTTAATGGGCCTTATGTGTCTAATGGGTGGAGCCCACCAACCCTGTACTTAATGATATGAGTTTGACCATACCAATAGTACTCAGTAGCCGTACCATTGGAAGTGACAAGTTATAGAGTTGTCGATATTTTAATGAAGTTTCTAAAAATATGATTGACCTTATTGATCTTAATATCGTTAATAATAATAAATCATTTCATTTTTACTATCGCATTAATAAAATAAAAGTTGAGGAGGCCTTAAAAAAAAGGTTGGAAAATCAGTAAGACCTAATGATATCTCAATTGAAGTGTAGAAATATTTAGGAGATTTAAGAGTTTCTTGACTTACTAAAATGTTTAAAATTATTTTTAAAATTAAAAAAATGCCCGAGAAGTGAAGCAAAATTATTTTGGTTCATTTTTGTAAGAATAGAGATGATGCAAAAGAGTGCACAAATTATAGAGAAACTAAGTTAATGTGTCATATTTTAAAATTATGGGAGAGGATAATTGAACATAAGTTAAGATATGATAAAAAGATTTCTCATAATCAGTTTGGATTTATGTCGGGAAACTATAGTTGATGCTAGAGGTTTGATGTGGAAGTACATAGAGAGTAAGGAGGATCTACATATAATTTTTATTGACTTAGAAAAAACTTACGATAAGGTTCCAAGGAAGTTCTTTGGAGAGTTAGAGAAGAAAGGTGTTGATATGACTTAAGTGTTGATATGACTTAAGGTGTTGATATGACTTAAATTCAAGTCATTAAAGATGTGTATACTAGAGTTGTTACTTGTTTTCGAACAAAAGGAGAATTAACCAAGTATTTTCCTATTTCGGTTGGATTACATCAAGGATCGGCTTTAAGCCCATATCTTTTTGTGTTAGTTATGGATGCACTTACTGAACATTTACAAGAGGATGTACGCTGGTGTATGTTTTTCGCTGATGATATCCTTCTTGAGGATAAGACCAGAGAAAGAGTTCAGGAAATACTTGAATTATGGAGATCTAAATTGGAGTCTAAAGGCCTTTGTTTGAGTAGATCTAAAACTGAATATATTGAATGTAATTGAGCATTAGTAAATCTAGTGGTAAATTTGTATTTATGGGGTGATAAAATCATTAAAAGGTGTGAATGTTTTAGATATCTCGGATCTATTATTCAATGTGAGGGAGATATAAATGGGGATGCTAACTGTAGAATTCAAGTTCCTTGGTTAAAGCGGAGGAATGCATCAGACCTATTGTGTGATAGAAAAGTACAGCTTATACTTGAAGGAAAATTTTATTAGATTGTGGTAAGACTAGAAATACTCTATGGCGTGAAATGTTGGCCTTTAAATTAGAAGCATAAAACAAGTTAAGTGTTGCTGAGATGAGAATGTTTAGGTGGATCAGTGGCTTGACACTTAAAGACAAAATGCGAAATGAATATATCTGTAATAGGATTGTAGCTCCAATTGCGGACAACATTAGAGAAGGTCGACTTAGATGGCTTGGTCACATTAAACGTCAACCATCCGATGATCCATTTAGGAGAGTAGATGTTTAGGATGTTTTAGATTCGACTTGTATTAAGAAAGGCAGAGGTAGACCTAAAAAGAATTGAGCATATTGTATTAAAAATGATCTTAATCTATTAAAATTAAATGAAAATACGACGCTCAATAAGATGCAATGGAGAAAAAGGATTCATGTATCCAACCCCACTTAATGGGATAAAGGCTTGATGATGTTGTTGTTGTATATGCTAAGCCTGAATACTTAGTGCCTAATGACTAACCTTAATCAAAAGTGTTCTCCCTTTATCGAGAGCGGTAATTAACCATAGAGGCTTGTGCCTATGAGAAACCTTGAACCTGGATTTTAAAGTCCTCGCAAAATGAGAGTGAAATCTTTGGGTGGTGTCTTATCTATTATCTCAATGTCTTCTGAAAATTTGACCCAAAACTTAACATATAAGCTCTCGACGAGAGTCTCAGTGTCAAATTTTCAGATCCCACAACAAACCCCTGACTATTTACATGGGGGGTCATTTTAGTCCCAAAGTTCATAAAAATGTCAAATTAATAGTGATAATATTTTAATATGGGATGCAATAGTCTCTAGGAACGACTATTTTAGCCCCCATTAAAATAGTCTAGGAACTAAATTGACATTTTATATATTTTGGTACTAAAATGAACCCCCCTACAATGGTCTATTTTGATAAATTTCTCTTATAAAAAAATAGTCACTTCATAATGCAGACGATATCTACGTGGACTAAACTTGATTGTTAATCAGCTCGATTACTCATTATTAAATTAAGTGAGATCATGAAATTTTGGTTTGTTACTTTTTTATAATAAAAAAACAGTCACTTCATAATGCATACGATATCTACGTGGACTAAACTTGATTGTTAATCAGCTCGATTACTAATTTTTAAATTAAGTGAGATCATGAAATTTTGGTTTGTTACTTTTTTATATGGTTAGTCTGAAAAGATCACCAACTTTCACTATCACAACTATATGCAAAAGTTTCCATAATTAAATCAAAGAGGTAACTTTAGACTCTCACAAGTTAGCATGTCGAACAACCACACATTTCAAAAATCCTTAAAAAAGTATGATTTTCACATGCAAGCTTGAAATGCATAAAAAGACAATAATCGGACAAACAATTCAAATTTACAGATGGGAATATGATATCAAGAAATCAACCGAATTTTCTGCAAAAATTTTAAAAAATGATGCTTGAAATCTACACAAGAATTTGGCTCTGGTACATATTTATATGCAAATGAATTAACCTAAAAATTAAAATTTGGCCCAATCCACCTTTATAAAATGGCCTATGACAATAATAAGGATTGTGCTTGTAAAATAAATTCTTAGAACAAAGAAAAAAAGCCTTAATTTTGCCAATATGGCTTGTGTAGTAGTGACTTACACCCAATACTAAGATTTCTAAAATCAGTTTTAGCGCCAGTATCAGTTTTTTGTTAATAAATTTAGTCTCTAAACTTTCATTTCAATTTTGAGGAAATGTGAATATCTAAAATAACAACATTCTCGTAAAATACAGTGTAAAATGAACCAAAGTTACCATACATTTAGCAGCTATCATTACCTGGGCATAGGTCATGAAAAATGTAAGGAAAAAAAAAAGACGTAACATAAAATGGACTTTGAGAATGTACTTCATGGTGTGATGTGTAAATATGTCATTTAGAAAGTAGATGTGAATAATTAAATTTATCACGGTATTTAGTTGTTGATGCTATGGTTGGTACTTGTTATATTTTAAAAAAATTGCTGAAATTATGGACGGTAGTGCTAGCCAAGCTTCTTGCTTATTTCAGATAAAACACATCTCATTGTGCAACTAACAGGTCTGTGAAACGAGCACAAATGATTTCATTTTTGTTTTATTTTTGTTGAAGAATATGTCACACCTGGGTCCGGAAGGCGGTTCGCCCCGACAACGAAGGTCATGATGAAATGAAATAAACTTGTTTTGTATTTTCATAAAAAGACTTGCATAAAATAAAAGAAAAAGAAATATAAATTTTATTAATATTGAAAAGTTCAATGATACAGCTGGACTGAAAATAAAAACTGGCTGAATCAAAATAAAAATGATAACATAGATTAACTATTTAGACCCAACAAAGATAAACAAAATACAATAACTAAAAATAAATACTAAGAAAAAATATCAAAACTGGGAAACTAAAACTGAAAAAACTTGCTCCGATGGAGACGGTCTTACTAGTGGCTGAATAGAACCTGTTATGCAAAAATATCAAAAATGTGTTTGACAAACTCAGTGAAGTATAAACGTCAAGGGGAATTGGCATGCAGTATGAACAAATAAGGAAAAATCACTACGTACATAAGTAACATTGTAAGACCAACAAATGGAGAGTAAATATCAAATATGCATATCATATGAAGCATGC